TTATCAAAGGCGGCACACTTCATTCCATTAAGCCACCCGTATACTTCTGTATCTGTAGCTGGAGTGTTCTTTGCTGAAATCTTCCGTCTTCATGGCTTACCTGAATCTATTGTATCGGACCGTGATAAAGTTTTCATCAGTGCATTTTGGCGCGAATTGTTTCGTTTGGCCGGTACAAAGTTGGTTTTTTCCTCAGCTTATCACCCGCAAACTGACGGCCAAACAGAGATCGTTAACCGCACTGTGGGCATGTACTTGCGTTGCTTGACGAGTGATTACCCTCGGGAATGGGTTCGTTGGCTTCCATGGGCTGAATACTGTTACAATACATCTTATCATACGGCGTTGGGTGATACTCCATTTCGCATTGTGTATGGGCGTGAACCTCCCAAACTCGTGGCACATACACCGGGAACAGCCCAATTAGAAGGGGTCGAGAGGGAGCTCATTGATCGTGACATCTTGCTAGCCACAACAAGGAATCGATTAATGCAAGCGCAACAGCGGATGAAGCAACAGTTTGATAAGGGCCATCGTGATCTATCATTTGAAATAGGGGACTGGGTATGGCTTCGGGTACATCCTTATCGGCAGGTGTCACTGATCAAGCTCCATCATAAGCTCTTACCTCGCTTTTATGGGCCGTTTCAGGTGCAGGCGAGAATTGGGGCAACTGCCTACCAGCTTCTCCTACCGGCAGATTGTCGTATCCACAATGTTTTTCATGTTTCATTGCTCAAACCACATCACGGGCCTATCCCACAAAGTATAAGAGATTTGCCACCACTTGACGAACCTCGTTCTTCTCTTCAGCCCACTGCAGTTCTCCGCAGCCGGAAGCATGATGGCCAGATGGAACTCCTGGTCCAATGGCAGGGGCAGCTCAAGGAAGAAGCTTCATGGGAGTCATTGGATACATTTCAATCCACATTTCCTGAGTTCAAGCTTGAGGACAAGCTTTTAATTAACGGGGGGAGTGATGTTATGGATCCATTCTATGGACAAGTATATCAACAAAGACGTGGACGGTTAGGTTCAGGGGATGTGGTTGGTCAAATCGGGGAAGATCAGAATACTCTAGATGGCTGACCACGAGAATAAGGAAAGCTGGCAGATTGGCAAGTGGCAGCATTTAATTAATTAGCATTTAAATAGTTAGATCCAGTTATTTCTTATTCTTAGTTATTTCCTAATTCAAATTAGGAAACTTCCTGGCAGCATTTAATTAGTCAGATCCAGTTATTTCCTATTCTTAGTTATTTCCTAATTCAAATTAGGAAACTTCCTATTATCCTTATGCTTCCTATTAGGACTCTTGTAATCTCTATAAAAGGGACCTAATATTGTTTAATAAAGGACCTTTGGAGAATTAATTTGATGTGTCTTGACTAGGTCGGGCACCGATTAATTCCTGAAGACTCTTCATATTTATTCTTGCCTCATTCGATAATCCTAGTATAACAATATTGATACTAAGGTCTCAGTAGGCTCTTCTTCTCTCCTGAGATCTCGTCTGAGACCTTGGACAAGGTCTTATACGCGAGTTCTTAACAAATACATTTTCTAATATTATGAAACACAAGTGTTTGTGAAATTGTCTAAGTGTGAGTCTTTGTGTTTTGTGTTTTCTGAATATCCATCTCATGCTTATCATAAAATCCATTTTAATTTTTTTACTCTTCCAGCTATGCACGGGATAAGTTTAAAATTGATCCAAGAATGTATATACTAAAGAGCGGTATAAAAGGTCACCAATTATACATCAATTTCAATATCACCCCCTCTGTTTTTTTTTTTTCAATTTAGTAACCTGCTAAATCATGATAGCGTTATTTATTTTTAAAGGGTTTTCAATGAAAAGTTAAGATTATATACCATATTTTATTCAATATGGTACAAGTAAATAAACTATGTTCATGTTCTTTAAATATATTAACACCCTCACCCATTTAAAACTTTTAAAGAAAGTAATCTGCAATAATTCAGTAATGGTCCAATTAGTGAAATGTCTTATTGATTCAGTTAGTCAATCAATTCACTAAATACATTGATCAAACAATTTCTCCTACAAAGCATTTACTTTTTATGAAAAAATGAACAAAAGGATGGGTTGCTATTAGAACTAAGGGTTATGCACATTTGAAAACTAATGCAGCTATGTTAATGTTCTTTAATTAAATGAACATAATCAGCCACTTCAGAGTACCCAGTCTGCAGCAATTCAGGAATGATCTAATTAGCAATATAGGAATGATCAATTCACTAACTAAATTAATAGAAGATTTCATCATTGAAACATTTAGTTTGTATGCTTTTGTATGTATTGGGCTTTTCTTGCCCCTGAAAATAAAAGATGGTCAAATAGCATCTGAAGTGAAATACTCCGTAGTGTTTAGCTAAGGTTAATTACAACCCAAGAGGCATGAAAAATGACTATCAAATGCTATATGTAAGTTGTCATTATTTTAGTGAATCTGGATGAGAACAGCCTCAGAGTTTCAGATGTTATCTTCACTTTGTTATCTATGCATTATCTTTTCTTTACCTTTGTGGTGAAATTTTTTCAGTTTGTGTGTTCCATAGCTGTTTTTTAGTGATGCAACTGATTAATAAATACTCCAAATCATATAATTCCAAATGTATATTCTGTTCTATAGAAGAGGACTAAAAGTGATTTTTAACAGTCTATAAAACAATATTGTTGGTTCATTTAACATATTTTCAAAGATAAGTTGACAATTATTTATAAGAAAATTAGTAATGTATATTTTGAATTTCGATCTCTAAGGTCTTGATTTAGGATAAGTGATGTGATTGATTCCCTCAAATAATCAACTTTACATAGAGCTACCATGGTAATTTCTCTATATTTAGTGCAGTTCACTGATATGTTCTATTTGACCGTGTTATTATTTGTACCACCAAAATATACATGCATATGTGAAATGGTTATTATTTACTCATTTTGAGTTTGGTTTCAGGCTAAAAACTTTAGAGGAGTCCAACGTCGACTTGAGCTTGGTAAGGTATTATGTTTGCTAGCGAAGTGATGAGATATGCTCGGGAGGTTAATGATTCCACCTTCATGCTATTTTCACTACAGATTTTTAAAACTTGTTGCACTCTCGTGTTTATACTCTCGATTAGTTGGTTGAGTCAGTTCTAGCTTCTATTTAGCTTTACTGACGGGATCAGAATTGCATTTTTGAAGTGTATTAGTCTCAAATTTCTATTCGGACTACAAATTCAATATTAATTGTTAAGACTGTATAACATTATCTGGCAACATGTGTTCTTGACATTATTTTCAATTGTGCCAAAATTATCAAAAGTAAGACAAGCTCGTGAAGGAAAGATACTAACACCTTAGTCCAACCATATATTCTTATTTTCTACTCCAGTATTTTATTTCTTTTTTTGAATGGAAAAAAGTTTTATAAACAAAAACAAAATTAAAACTAGAGGGGGCATAAGAACTTCCTTCAGAGGGCATATACTCCAATGATACAAATTAGACTCGACTCCAAATCACACACTCACTATAAACTCCTTATTAATTTAACCTAGACTTTTTAAAGATCCTCTAGCTATATCTCATAGGATATTCATATGTTTTGTCCTAGGAAATATTCTTGCCACATTTCTTTGCAGAAAATATATATGGCGCTTGTTTTTAACCATTACGAAAAAATGTGGAATACGAGAACTCAATTACTCCGTATATTAACCCTACCAAAATAGTATTGGGCATTTTCTTATCGCGCATCGCGCGTTGGTAAACTAGTATATATATAGGGGCGGGATCAAGTACAAACTGTGCTTATTGTGCAAATGTTTGTACGATGCATCTTTAAGGTGTTTTTATTGCATATTTAGGTTCAAAGTGTTGCACATTAGTTAGCCATAAAATAGGAGTTGCATATTAACGTTCAAAGAGTTGCACCCACAAAAAGTTGGCTTTTATTACAAAAAAGCCACCTTAACTCTAGAGCCTTGAGATCAACTCATTGGATGGCCAAGATGAGTGTGTAGTTTGTAAACTAAGAAGGGTTTGTATTTGATCTCTCTTCTATATATATATATATATATATATATACACACACATATATATAGGGGAGAGTTCAAATAAAAAGTACTCTTCCCGTGCAAAGTGCGAAAATTGCACTTTTACACGTTTCACTTGCATTTTTCGTGTTTCCGTAGCACTTTTCACCTTTGCGATTTTGGATAAATTCGGCAAAAACCACGGTGGCAGTTTTGTAAATAACCCAATTTTTTTCGCCAACGCGAAAAAGTGCAACGACAACAAGTAAAAGTGCAATTTTCGCACTTTGCACGGGAAGAGTACTTTTTATTTGAACTCTCCCCTATATATATATAGACAGTTAGACACACTCGTTAAAATTTCTGAAGATGAGGGAGATGTATACTATTTGTACAATAGTCAGATATCATGTTCCAAATCTAAATTATTCAAAAAAATGGAAACTGGAAGTTGTATGATTTGAATGTAGAACCCCCACACAGACAAAATTATTTAACGATGATGGTGATGGGAGTCAATGAGATTTAGAAATATTAGGATTTTAAGGGTTTCTTAATGTTGTGATGTGGCAATGGGAACCTGAATGAGATTATTTGGGGATGATGAATGTGGATTGTGGATGCCCTAGCTGTAGCTATATAGCATCTACTGAGAATCACGTAATGCAATAGAAAGCGCTTATTTGACAAAATACTTTAAATATTTCTCTCTTTGATACTCGACCATTTATCACAACACATCTTGTTCTGATAAATTGAATTTTTTATTTCAAATTTAATGTTCTTTTGTAGAAACAAGCAAAACTAAGATCAATGACTTTACACCAATCCGTAATCTATGGAGCAATTGGTCACATACTCCCATTTAGTGCAAATGTATAGAAATGAAATGAAAATAAAAGGGGAAGGGAGCACTTAAACATGACATCCAAAAAGAAAACCATGTCAAACATTACCTGCTTTTCATTCACAAAGATGCTTATAAACTCAGCAATTTGACCAGCCCTTCGTAGCTTTCTCATGGCACTGGCAAACCGCTATGCATCAAGAATACAAGATAGGTTAATTGCAGTGAAAAACGTTTAAGGGAAAAACTTGGGCTACGCTGACTCTAACCTCTCTATCTATACTCTATAAAATCCTATGTACCAATTTCCCTTTTTCACTTGTTTACCACGCCTTTTGATTGGTTAATATCTATTCCACCTAATTTATTCAATATATAAAAAACAGTTAAAATGCTTTCAAGTTTCATTCAATCAAAAAGAGTGGTGGACAAGGAAATATGAAATAAGTTAATTACAGTGAAGACTGAAGACTTTTATAAAGGGCAAAATGTGGGTGACACTTGCTCTAACATCTCTTCATATACGCTAGAAATCCTCTATACTAGTATAAATTCTTTACTTGTTTAATGGTTTACCACACATTTTGCTGGGTGATATGTTCAAATGCTTTCATGTTTCAACAGATTAAAAAGAGTGATAGACAAGTGAACAAAGAAAAAAGGTAGAGGATTTCAATTCTTTCAATATATATATAAAAGGTGCATGTACTCTGTAGAATGGGAAGAAATCATGTGTGGCTATTCATGTACCTGCGGCTTCCTGTGCTTGCCAAGAATGAGTCCATTCAATACAACCAAAAAAGAAATTGGTGTATGAATCTCTTCCCCAGAAAGAAGTTCTAGGTCTTCAACCCCCAACCAATAGCACTGAGAAAAGGATTACAGAACAAGTAGGCCCAAACTTTAAGCAGAGTGACAAGTCAGGAACAGAAATTTATTCATGATACTGCAAAGCTAATATGGCAAAATAGAGCAAATTCTAGCAATCGGCATGAACAGATAATAATATAAAGCATACAAATTTAAATGGAAAAGTTACATTGCTGCAGTTTAAGTGAAAGAGATCTTCAGTAACTAGGATTACAGAAATCATTCTCTAAGACTATTTTCATATTTCAAATGTTAATTTCTTGGAAATGCATTTATTTTGTGTCAAATGGAAAGGAGTTAATAAAACAATCATAGCTGCAAATCTGATCAACCTGTATCAAAAGCCATCTATGGAACCTTAGATTTAACATACTCATCTTAGCAGTGGCCAATAAAGAACACAGAGAGAGTAAATACAACCTGAATCGTCAAGCATTAAATATTATCAGACAAAAATAGAGGAAAATACCAGAGATACAATTGGGCGCTCATCTTCATCTGTTGTAACATGAGTCATCAAAGCTAGATTTTTCACCAATCCACATGATTCACCTTCCGGGGTATCACAAGGACACAGCATGCCCCACTGTTAAAAAGAGGTATTCCCTTATATTGAATAATTTAAACACTAGATAATTTACAGTATAATGCTTGGATAAAAGGTTTACTTGACTTGGTTGCAATGCTCTAGGCCCGCTAACTTTTCTGGACTTCTCAAATTGGGGTTGAATCTTGGTCATGAAGCCCAATGATACAATGTATGATAACCGAGTTAGGACCTGTAACAAATACATATATTAACACTTACACCCCTTTACACATTCAATTTTGCTAAATTCACCGACTCCAGACTCTATATGTCAAGGCCAACATATATCGCAGAACCAAAAGGTTAAATAACTGAGACACAGCCAGGACATGAGTGTAGCACCTGTGTCATGCCTTTGCGGTGCATTCTAAATCTCTTTACGTCCCAATTTCCTGTGGATAGAGTTATTTCCAGACCTTTGGTAATGATGTCCCTCATTAAACTCTGAACAGCATATTTTGAAGAAACATCAGTGATTGCATCTCTCAAATATCAAAGAAGATAAAACTGAATACCATATTTTACAATGAGACATAAAATATATGTCAAAACCCAACTTTCATTTTGAAAATATTGGTTTCACAAACTATTTTGAGAAAAAAAGAATAGGAGAATAAAAACAGCACAGCCCTACAAGATTGTGTTTCAGTAGCAGTACATATACAAAGAGACCATTCAATGCCCTTTTCCTTCAGTATATAAATAGACAGTTAATAACAAAAAAGACTGGCATTCAAGAAATCAAAAGGGTGTAGCACCAAAGTTTGAAACAATATACTGCATTTTGCTAAGCCACTAAAAGTTGCAGTTTAATTCCAAATTACATACTTTAGGAATATTGAGGTTGCAAGATTGGGCAGGCTTTGCCAAGTGCGAATCAACAGTTTTTATGACCTCAGCATTAAAGGTCTTAAACAAATCCTGCGATAAGAAGTTTAATAGAATATAAGACATCTTGTATTCATTTATACAAGCAGGTTCATACAAAAAAGCATGCCTAGAGTACCTCAAACAGAAGGGACAATAGCTGCCCTGAGAGCTCTAGCCGTTTGTTCCCCACATAGTCCTGCAAAATAAAAAAAATTTAGACACAGCGGATATAACTGTAAGGCATAGAGTAATTTGCAGTAAGTTGAAAGGCTACAGTTCCATTTGGGAAGGGGGATATGATTTCCAGGACCAATATTCTGGATTCTCATGTGCTTGACTGACATAGAAAAATGTGAAAAAATGAGTTATTAAGTCAGAGAGAAACTAGCCTAACGAGTTAGGAAAATGCAGATGTTTAGCCAATAGTGATGGACATTATAAACCAACACTACCAACAACCACTGCCTCTACTAACCCACCACTATCAAGTATCAACACCACGTGATCATCACCTCTGTTATCAAAGTCTATATGCTGGTTTTAACAATTGCCTCTGCCCAACAGCCACATCTACAGCCACTGTGGGCAATGCGGCCAATGCCACTATCACTCATCTTTCATTTAAAATATGTCAACTAATTTCAAAATTGCATGTCATAATTGCACATGAGAACTTTATTTAATTGAGCTTACACATATAGCCCTATTCTTACTGTTTTTAGTTATATATAGAATATATAGATATCAAAGTGCAGTGTGTCGTCCTCCAAGATAACATCTGGATATGCCATTACCCCGACCCTACCCTACCCTTTGTCACCAACCCACCGTTGGAGAGTCTCCTACACACCGCCTCACTTGACCACTTAAAGATGATATTTGAGTACAATTACAAAAAAATTAATTGCTATATGTTGAAATATAAACTAGAATAATATTGAAGAGTGGAGGAAAGATTTTCAGTATGTTTCATTGAAGGGTAAGGCCCTATAAATATAGATTACAAAGATGGAATATTCCTATAAAAGATGCTATACAATAATACTATATATGGTATATTCCTAATATATTCTAAAGCATATTCTAAAGTATATTCTAATATACTTTCACACTCCCCCTCAAGTTGGAGCATAGATATTTATCATGCCCAACTTGTTACATAAATAACCAACTCGAATTCCATTTAGTGCTTTAGTGAACAAATCTCCAAGTTGTTCCCTAGTCTTCACATATCCTGTAGAGATTAATCCTTTTTGTATCTTCTCTCGAATAAAATGACAATCGACCTCAATATGCTTTGTTCTCTCATGAAATACAGGATTGTTTGCTATGTGTATAGCAGCTTGGTTATCACACCACAATTTAGCAGGCATTGATGTCTTCAGTCCGAGCTCGGTCAATAAATGGCTTATCCATATGATCTCACATGCAGATTGTGCCATAGCTCGATATTCTGATTTGGCACTCGAACGAGAAACCACATTATGCTTCTTACTCTTCCAAGATACAAGATTACCACCAACAAAGACACAATAACCAGATGTAGATCTTCGATCATCTTTAAAACCGGCCCAATTTGAATCTGCAAAACATTCTATTCTCATGTGATCCTGGTTTTGATAAACAATACCTCGTCCTGGTGCACCCTTTAAGTAACATAATATGTGTTCTACTGCAGCCCAATGATCCATGGTTGGAGATGACATGTATTGACTCACTACACTCACAGAATAGGCAATATCTGGACGAGTGACTGCGAGATAATTAAGCTTTCCAACCAGTCGTCTATATCTTTCTGGGTCTTCAAACGTTGTGCCTTCTTGAGTGAGTTGCACGTTGGGAACCATGGGTGTTGTACTTGGTTTTGCCCCTAATTTCCCTGTCTCAGCTAGTAAGTCAAGTACATATTTACGCTGAGATAGAAATATGTCTTTCTTACTTCGTGTTACCTCAATTCCCAGAAAGTATTTCAAAGAGCCAAGATCTTTCGTCTGGAATTGACTATGCAGAAAATTCTTAAGGGCCAAAATACCTGCATTATCACTCCCTGTAATCACAATATCATCAACATACACCACAAGCAATGTGACACTTGATTCTGTTTGTTTGTAAAAGACAGAGTGATCTGATTTGCCTTTTATCATTCCAAATTGTTCAATTGATTGACTGAATTTTCCAAACCATGCACGAGGACTCTGTTTCAGACCATAAAGAGATTTGCGAAGTCGACAAACTTTACCATACTCCCCCTGAGCAACAAATCCTGGAGGTTGCTCAATATAGACTTCTTCCTTAAGGTCACCATGCAAAAATGCATTTTTAATGTCCAACTGATGTAAGTGCCAATCATGAGTTGCAGCGAGTGAAATAAGTAACCTGACAGATGTTAATTTAACAACAGGAGAAAAAGTGTCAGAATAATCAACACCATAGGTTTGAGCATAACCCTTGGCAACTAATCGGGCTTTCAACCGAGCAACAGATCCGTCTGGGTTAACCTTAACAGCAAAGACCCACTTACATCCAATAGATTTCTTCCCTGTAGGCAAGTCAACCAAATCCCAAGTACCATTAAGATCTAAAGCATTCATTTCCTCTACCATGGCATGACGCCATTCAGGATGAGACAAAGCTTCTTTGACAGATTTGGGAACAGAAATAGAATCAATGGAAGTAATAAAAGAACATGAAGCAGGAGATAACTGATTGTACGACACAAATGAAGAAATAGGATGAGTACAAGACCGTGTACCTTTACGTAGTGCTATTGGGAGGTCAAGATCTGATGTGGAGACAAGATCTGAAGATGCAGGTACTGGTTCAAGACATGAGATCGGAGTCGAACTAGTATCAAGATAAGTAATCACAGGTATCGCCGGTGGAGGGTGATCAGGTGCTTTGTGTCGACGGGTGTATACCAAATGTACGGGAGGCCTAAGGTCAGGAACAGTAACTTGTGGAATATTTGTCGAAAGTGTGGACTCAGGAATAGTCATCGTGTAAATGAGTATATCATCATTACTCTCATGAATATCTGCCTTAGATGATGAAAAAGGTGTATTTTCATGAAATGATGCATCAATAGAAACAAGATACCGACCAGTACTCGGACAAAAACATCTATACCCCTTTTGGACTCGAGAATAACCCAAGAAAATACATTTTAATGATTTGGGATCTAACTTTGTAAGATGAGGATTAACATCTCTAACAAAACAAGTGCAACCAAATATTTTAGGTGGGATAGGAAAAAGCTCTTTGTTTGGAAATAGACAATGATAAGGGGCTTTACCATTCAAAACAGAAGATGGTATTCGATTTATCAAAAAACATGCAGTAGACACGGCATCTGCCCAAAACTGTTTCGGCACATTCATTTGGAATAGAAGAGCCCTTGCAGTTTCTAACAGATGTCGGTTCTTTCGTTCTGCAACTCCATTTTGAGGAGGTGTGTCAACGCATGAAGTTTGATGAATAATGCCATGTTGAAGCATAAATGACTTAAATGTAGCAGATAGATATTCTTGGGCATTGTCTCCTCTTAAAACCCGAACAGGAACGTTGAACTGAGTTTTAATTTCAGCACAAAAGGAAGAAAAATGAGTGAACAACTCAGATCGACGTTTCATGAAATACAACCATGTCATACGAGAATAGTCATCAACAAAGGTAACAAAATATTTAAAACCAGCTTTAGACACAACCGGACAAGCACCCCAAACATCAGAGTGAACAAGGTCAAATGGAGCATTTGCTCGTTTATTAACTCGCGGGCTTAAGCTAGTACGATGGTGTTTCGCAAATTGACATGACTCACATTGTAAAGAGGTCATCTTATTAAATTGGGGATTTATTTGCTTCATTAATGGGAGAGATGGATGTCCTAATCGGTAATGAGCATCTAACAAAGTCTCAACACCAAGACAAGAGATACCTTTTGTGATGGATGTATCCAAAATATAAAGACCAGCTGACTCATGTCCTTTACCAATAATCTGCTTCGTTAACAGATCCTGAAACACACAATATCCAGGAAAAAATGTTACAGAACAATTAAGAGTACGAGTGATCTTACTGATGGAAAGCAGATTAAATGCAAAATTAGGAAGACTCAAAACAAGCGATAATGGTAATGTAGAAGTTGGAACAACAGTACCAGATCCAAGAACGGGTGAGGTAGACTCCAAACACGCGGATGATCTACCTCACCCGTTCTTGGATCTGGTACTGTTGTTCCAACTTCTACATTACCATTATCGCCTGTTTTGAGTCTTCCTAATTTTGCATTTAATCTGCTTTCCATCAGTAAGATCACTCGTACTCCTAATTGGTCTGTAACATTTTTTCCTGGATATTGTGTGTTTCAGGATCTGTTAACGAAGCAGATTATTGGTAAAGGACATGAGTCAGCTGGTCTTTATATTTTGGATACATCCATCACAAAAGGTATCTCTTGTCTTGGGGTTGGGACTTTGTTAGATGCTCATTACCGATTAGGACATCCATCTCTCCCATTAATGAAGCAAATAAATCCCCAATTTAATAAGATGACCTCTTTACAATGTGAGTCATGTCAATTTGCGAAACACCATCGTACAAGCTTAAGCCCGCGAGTTAATAAACGAGCAAATGCTCCATTTGACCTTGTTCACTCTGATGTTTGGGGTGCTTGTCCGGTTGTGTCTAAAGCTGGTTTTAAATATTTTGTTACCTTTGTTGATGACTATTCTCGTATGACATGGTTGTATTTCATGAAACGTCGATCTGAGTTGTTCACTCATTTTTCTTCCTTTTGTGCTGAAATTAAAACTCAGTTCAACGTTCCTGTTCGAATCTCCGGCCAGAGGGAAGGTGTGTCACTCTCCGGCAGATGCGATTACTTCCAGAGGACTGTGGCTATAATTTGGAGCTGCGTAATTTCAATGCCTGGTCGGGGACGGCAGGAATGGTGTTGTCCGAAATTTGCCGGAAAAAAAAAATGGCCGGACCTGGCAGAGGTTCTGAATTTGAACTAAGGTTCTGAATAGAGGTTCTGGATAATGGCGATGATGTGTAGAGAGGTTCTATCTGGGTTGAGTTTCTTGTAGACAGAATGGTGCACAGAGGTTCTGAACTGAACTCAAGTTCTTTGAGAAAGAACTGAGTCTGAAAAACAAAATTGAAATCTGAAAAAAAAAACTAAACTGAAATGGAAGGCTCTGATACCATGTTGAAATATAAACTAGAATAATATTGAAGAGTGGAGGAAAGATTTTCAGTATGTTTCATTGAAGAGTAAGGCCCTATAAATATAGATTACAAAGATGGAATATTCCTATAAAAGATGCTATACAATAATACTATATATGGTATATTCCTAATATAATCTAAAGCATATTCTAAAGTATATTCTAATATACTTTCACACTATACAATGAACTACACAGTAAAAATATTTAAATGTAACGAGTCAGCACACCACCATCAAGTCCTTCAAGCTGGCTGCATGAACTCTACATCTCTGCCCATTATGAATGAAAAATATGTGCTAACATATCTTCACTAAGAAAAAGATCAACCAATGTAAGATTAGATCTAACGCACTCCTCTCCTACAACAGTCATGTCAATGCTATCCCTATCATATGCAAATCAACAAATGCACAAAGGAAAACATACAGGGAATATGGTTATTTGTATATTTTATTGGGGGTAAAGCGGTAAGCAATATTTTATTCACAGACAAGAAAACATAAATGAAGTCAATGAAAGATCAATTTGCAATGCAATTCAAGAAATCCACAACTTCATCTCAATAAACGAAACACACACAGACACAAATATCATTCCAAAACTAAATAGGTTTCGATCAATGATCTAAAAATTCCCTAGGCGCTGCCTAGTCATTGGGCGCTATCCCACTGTAGTGAAAAATACAAACCAGGGCTTGATAATCAGACGGCAGACTAGTCAGGCGCCCAGACTGCCTAGCCGGCTGTAAGCCTTCTTCTATTTTACTTTTCAAGCACCGCCCTTCATTTCAAGAGAGTCAAGACCGTCACAGACATCTATGTTGCACGAAAACGTGGGAACCATGGGGAAACGAGAAACAGGAAACGTTATATTGTTTTAGAAAAACAATTGTTTCGAGAGTTTCCGAAGAGTTTCCGTCGAGTTTCCAAAACGGAAACGAACTCATTCCCGAGAATTCCGTGCTACATAGACGGACATTGCTTCTTTTTCAAGTTCCCGGCGTGGTTACCCTTCATTTTAGAACCTCTCACAGTAGCAGGCCTCAAGTAATATATATTTTTATCACTTATCTGTTATTTTTTAAATATTGAAATTTTGGATGTGAGTTTTACAGCCCAAAAGTTGTTTATGTATGTGTTAGTAATTGATATTAAGCATTTAAGCTTGTGTAAAGATTGTTGGGGAAACACAAAGTCTCTATAGAGTGATAATTACTTCAATGATGTTGTGCAGGTTTAATGTTTGAAAAAAGTCCTCAAAGGACTATTGAAGTTATGTGTGCTCACTGCTTATGTGGTTTTTCCCTTCGCCAGTTCCTTCAAGTTTTAAGTAATGCTTTTACTTTTGGGTGAAGAATAGTTACTTTTTGTTTGGTCATGAAGAATGTATTGTGCAGTTGCATTTTCTTAACCATGAAGAATGTACTATGATTCAGGGGTGTGAATACATAATATTCTGCACACCATATTCCTAGTTTCCTACTAGGAAAAAGCTTTGTAATATACATAAATGATACTCCCTCCATCCCATTTTGTAAGGTACACTTTCCTTTTCGGGTTGTCCCAAAAATATGATCACTTTCCTAAATTGGACTCCACTAACTTTTTACATTTCCACTTTATCCCATTATCTACCATTTCACCATTTACTTTTTGTGGAGCCATCTCACTCTTTCTTACTTTTTGGAGGTTAAATTTGTAAAACAACCACTTCATCCTTTATTTTCTTAAAACTCGCACCAAACTGATATGCATCTTACATTATGGGACAGAGGTAGTAAATATTTTATCAGTTCTGTTAGCATAATTTAAAGAAAATAAAATATGAGTATATCTCATCTAATTGGAGCCTAGGCGCTAGGCGCTGCTTTGCCGCCCAGCTAACGCCTATCGAGTTCTAGAACCTTGGGTTCGAGAGCCACAAAGCAACAGTTATTTTTGTTTCACTTCCAGTTATCCAGAAAATACATCACCAAACATTCTTCTTCAACATTCTAACATTTTTCCACATTCAGAAAGTGAACCGTATGAAGTGAAAATACCTTGTCATCCATTGTATCTTTGTTTAGGATTGCATCCATTATGCGTCTCAACATCACCGCAACATAAATGCATTTTTTGCGGAAATTATTGGCATGCACCTATACATGGAGAGAAGGTAGGTGCAATAGATATTCATAAAATATAATATATTACCAGAATCATCAATAAGAAAAGACTCATACTGGGATGTTTGCAAGAAATGTTTTTTTAAGAATTTCCAATGCACGCCCTCCTCCCTACATGTAAAACAAGTGTATTTAGAATTCATTCACGAACCTAAGTAGATTGGAATTGTGAAACAGGTAACACGAGAAACAGGATTTCTAAAATATGTATATAGGATACAAAATAAGGGGAAAACATGTAAATATTGAAAAATATAAAGACAGATTTATTATTACTTTTTCATATATGTATAAATGTTATTATTATTTATATATATATATATGCACATATTGTTCATATAACTTTACTTGATAACCAATAATAAGTGCATCCCATGTTCAAATTTAGATATAATTACACATTACACACTAGTATACAATTAAACATAAGATGCAATACATTTCTAGCAATGCATTGTGTTATGAAATATCACAATGTTGCTAGGAAGGAATCCCATCACATATCACTAAAACGTTTTTAAAAAGCACTATTTTCCCTCAAGGAGTCCATCAAAGGGGGGGAAATTTAGAAACCCAAAGTTTCCGAAAAGCTAATTATTTAGGAAAACAGGTTTCCCAATTCTTACTAATGGAAACAGCCCCGAAACAGGAATTTGAAGTTTCTGACACTTCCAAGTTTCCGAAATGGGGAAACGTGAGTTACGGGAAGTTTTTGTGCTTCATAGTCTAATTTAACAAGTCAGACAAATTCAAAATGTTTTTTCAATTTCCATTTACAGACACCTTTTTCTACCATTGTAAAAAAGGTTAGAATGTTACATACACGAATATCTCAAAATTTCAATTTATGTTTACAACTACATATTTCCTAGGTCATATATGTACCAACATTAACTTACACGTTGTCAAAAAATCAGTACAGCAACAATTATAAATTTATAATTATCTCATAGAAAAACATGTATCTTCTACCAGTAAAAGTATTGAACTACATCTCTTGAAAAGAAACAAGAGTTCAATAAAGCATTGTTTGGCATATGAAAATTAAATTCTTTAAGTGCACCAAGGATAATGAACCAAACCTTATCAAATGAACCAGTTGAGTATGCAAAAGGTTTAAGCTGCAAAAGAAACAAGCTAACATAAATTAATACATATTAAGATAAGAGCATAAAGCCTCCATGTGAAACGGTAAATATACATTTTCAGTTATCATTTCAATTAGAAGAGTTCAAGTGTTATAAGTTCAGAGCACATGACTGTGATCCATTGAAAGAGTTCTTACACATCATATTATGACAAATAAGATCTTAAAGTCTTGACCCAGCATCCCTTGAACTCAAATACACTAGGATCTTATGGATTTCATTCAAGTACATTGAGGTAAAGTAGCAGTTAAAACCAATGTTAAATCTATGGGAAAGCAAACAGCCTAGACATTCTTTCAAATATTTTAAGAGTAACAACCTAGACATTCTTTCAAATATTTTTAAGGGTAAAAGTGTAAAACAATCAGATGAGCAAGGGGAAAGAAACCTAGTAAGAAGAAACTTCTTAATACATAAGGATGCAGCAGCTTTTCTTCTTTTATATCTAGGGAGGAGAAAACCAAGCAAAGTAAACAAAAGCTAACTAGCACATTTCCGAATAACTTTTCTATTACAACAACCAAACATGGTGAGTGTATGCAATTAAGGGTGAGGAAGTTAAAGAAAGGAACCATACAAACTTATCACTATCAAGGAACTGCAATGCTTGTTGTTGACAATACACATTCTTGGCAGCACATTCCTGAAATCACAGAACACAGCAAAACGCATAAGATTGTCATTAGGTTTTGATATGAAGTCTTCTTGACCTGCAGTCAAGAATATGTTTCAACACACCACCTGCAAGACAAAGGTCTCTTAAACAGATAAGATAACAAAATTCCCTCAGCAAGCAGCATCACATCAGTGCAGGAAAACATGTTTTGAGACAAAACTGTGAAGTAATAAATGAATTTGTAGCATAAAGACTTCTTAATTAAGTAAAGGAAGCATTAACTCTCAAATGACAAATAAAACACTGTTTTATTCTCGATGTACCAATGAAATTAGCTAGAATGCTTCAGAGATTGAAATGACATATAGAAAGAGCCTCAACTGTAATGGAAAGACACACAGATTGAAGGCAAAGAAAGAGTTAGACTAGTACTTTTGAACTTTAATCATTCATCTAACAACGCCATCATCCCAAAAGATTTTGGAGTCAGCTAACATAATTGGAATATCGATACATGATATCGGATCCAAAAGGAAAAGAAAGATTAGATAGATAAAATTATAAAAACATAAGATATGGTAACAAGATTAAAAAAAGATAAGATAAAGATAAATATAAGATGAATATATATATGATAAGATAAAAAGGGATAAAAAGAACATATACAAAATTAAAAATATATATAAAATAAAAAGGATTTCTTTTTATCCTACCTTATCTTTTTATCTTTCCTTTTTTCCTTTTGACTCCGATATCATATATCGATTCATGTTAGCGGACCCCAAAATCTTTGGGGAATAAGGCTTGGATGTTGTTGTTGTATAAAATAAAAAGGATTGAAGGATAAAGAACATAAGATCAATAAAGAAGATAAAAGGATAAAGAAGATGATAAGAGATCAATCCTACGCACGAATATCCGCCCTCCACTTTTCTCCCTCCAAAATCATACTCTCATTCAACTCAAGAAGAAGCATATCATTACGGACTCCTCTAATCCACATCTGTTTGGGTATTCTTCTCCCTCTCCTCCCCACCGCTTCTCCACACCTCTCAACTCATCTAATAGGTGCATCACTTGGTCTACTACACACATGACCAAACCATCGCAATCGTAACTCCCGCATCTTATCTTCAATAGGTGATACTCCCACTTTTTCCTAATTGTCTCATTCCTCGAGCAGACTTTTATAGTATGTTCACACATATAACGCATCATGCGCATCTATGCCACACTCATCTCTTGAATGTGACATTGTTTCACCGCTCAACCCTCTACGCCATATAGTAATGCATACTTCATTGTTGTTTGATAAAACTTATCCTTCAGTCTAGTCGGCATACTTCGATCACATAGAAATCATGACGCACTCTTCCATTTCATCCACTGATAGCCACCGGGCATATTGGTGCTGATAATAAAATTATAAGAGTAATCTAAATAGAAGTTAAGTAAGGAATAAAAGTTAGACTGGGATTATCCTTTTGGCTTGGGACTTGGAGAGTTGGCGCTCTTTCACTGTCTTTGTACTTTCTCTCTCTATTTTGTTATGCGAAGCTTTCTATTGTTACGTAAATTTTGTTTCCTTCATCTCTAGCTCTCCAAAACTCTGTAAATGGGCTCCTTCTCTATCATTGGTATTAGAGCACGATTCATGTCACCTGTGAATGGTTGTGACTCGCACCAATATGGAGAGCAAATTGGAAACAATAGAGCACAAGGTGGAACGCAACAGTGAGGGGCTACAAAAAATTAACACAATTGTGGAGATGCACGATCTAATGGTCCAGCAGAATGGTTGCCGTTCACGAGGCCGATCGAGGAACCCTGGACGTCATCAGAAGCCTGAAAGCTAGGGTTCAACTTCATCGCAAGCAGAAGATCACTGTTCGCAAGCTTAGTCACCAACTGATCCTCACAGTTCGGATGTTTATACTTGGACTGTAATTTGTTGGTCTGGTCTGCTCTGAACTGGTCTGGTTTCTTTGTATTTTTATAACAATCCAAGTCTGGTCTGATCTGGTCTGGGACAAAATACAGTCCAAGTAAAAACATCATTCGTCTTTGCGAGCGGCCTTGACCAGTTCCCAGCTGATGTCGCAAACCGCTTCTCACCGTACGCAAGTTTCAATGTTCCTTCAGGAGTATGTGAGTCAGTGGCAAACTCCCTCTGAAGGCACTATTTCGTCGCGATTCAGAAAAAGTGAAGAAGAACTGAAGAAGACAACGTACATGTTGTTCTGAATAGTGCTGATGATGCTCCAAGGGTCACCAATCTAGGGCAATTTTCCGCTAGAGGAGTGACTAACTCTTCTTCGGAGCCAATACCGCTATTGATTGGAGTTTCTGGTGACCTTAGCAAAACTGGAGAAAACGCAGAGTGTTTTGCATCTGAATTTTCTCAAGATCCTATCCCTGAAGTGTGTTCTGTTGCGGCAAGAGCTATTGACTCTCTTATAACGGGCATGAGAGAAGAAAACTTCCCAAACCTGGTGCATGGGCTGTTAGATACTCTGGAATCTGAGGGCAGCGATGTTGGGCGTTCTGAAGTTGCACAGGGCCTGAGAGAGGTGAGGCATCGGTTTGAAGAGATTGACTATATCCTGGAGGCGCAAAGTTCAGAGCGTTATACATCTCTTTATGTGACTTATCATACTGAAAATATCAGTCATGGAAGTGCAGAATATGAGAGTGCAACGAATAGGAAGGTATTGATGAAGATTTTATCCAATATAGAGGCATGTGTATTGTTTGGTAGCTGTTGATCTGCTAACTGCAGTTCCTGAAGTTGCAGAAAAAACTGCTACAACTTTGCAGTCAAACTTAATAGCTGCTATTGCATTTATGGAGCCACTGAAGGAATGGATGTGTGTGAACACTGAACAAGGAGTGGACCTTTCACTGCTATGAGAAATTCTATTTCCCACTGATAGCCGTTATATTTACTTGTTTTTATCATAAGTATTTATAAGTATTTGTTGAAGAAAGGAAGAAAAATCGGGCAAATACCTCCAGAATGAGAGCTAGAGCATAAAACATTGCGATGAACGACTTTTTAGACCAAGAGAATGACGTTCTGCCCATAATTTGAGTATAACTTATTCTATAGAACTCGAAATCACTCGATTCGAGTTTCATGTGAATGCTAACTCAATAAGGAACAAATGTTATGAAGACGTCATGGCCAAAATATGAAAGGAACAAGACTCAATCAACCAACAAAGTCAGATGTTGCTGGTGGGATTTCAGGATGCATACCTCTCAGTGTTTTAGCCATAACGTTTGATTGGATGAATAAAATCACGTCATTCAAGTTTTGGTGGATAGAAGACTTCATTATCTACAACTTTGGTGAAGGAATCATGTCCAAATTCGTAGCGGAACATCCCCAAAATCCCGGGACAAAAACCGACACTTTTTGATCAATTTCGGAAGAAGAGAAAGGAAGCGCATTTTTGGGTGCTGCAACCGGCGCCGGTCAGCCTAGAACCGGCGCTGGTTGGAAGGCTTTTTCGCACTAAACGAGCCTGTTTGCGACCGGGGCCGGTTCTAGACTGACCGGGGCCGGTTGGGACGATTTCAGCTCAAACAAAAGCTCGTGCAAGAGGATTTTTTATGGGAAAACTTCACCTTCCTCATCTCTTGATCAAATATTGCTCCATACCTGATTGTTGGGCTCGAATAGACTAAAAGATGTCATTCTTTAGCCTATATAAAGCCCTCAATTCATCAAACATAATCATTCCATTCCATAGATTAATTCTTAGCTTTTATATTTTTGTTCTTGGTATTTTCTTCAAGTTCTTGAGGAGGAAACTTCAACCTCCGAAATAATTGGTGTTTAGGTATTATTTCCTTTGTAATTCCATGTTCCATTACATTTAAATATTGTATTGTGATTAATATGAGCATTAGAGGCTAATTTCTAAGCTAAGGCTAGGGATGAACCTCTATGCATACTAGGTGTTTGATAAAAGTTCTGAACCAATAAATTGTGATTTATCCTTTATATTTTGATTGTTTATGACTATGGTGTACAACATAGAAGTATGTTAAATTTAGTTTATGCTTGCAATTAACGTTGAAGTCTAAACTATGAACATTAAAGGATAAACATATATAGTACCGAGAATAGAAATATATCCGGTCTTATATGATACGGGTGTGATGTCTTGATATTCAACGGGGTTTTCGGTAGATGAATGTAAGCCGTAACGGGACTTACACGTAATGAAAACCATGTTCTCGCTGCCTTAACCGGAGTTGAGAATATATTAGCGACATCGTATTCATAATTATTGGGGAAGAACTATTATTAAATAACTATTAAAGCATTTAGGTGAATCCCGATTGCCTTAGTAATTCTCATTCTTGTTTAAATCAATCTCAAAGAACAAAGTTCCTGAAAAATTATACCATTTATATTCTTTTGCATTCAATATTCAACTTTATAATATCAACCATTTCCCTGTGGATCGACCCGGTATTTACCGGTATTTTATTACTATATCGGCACTTGTATACTTGCAAGTTCAAACCGATCACCCACTCTTTGTAATCACGCAGGAGAAAGGAAGAAATATTAAACTGCTGCCTGTTGACCTCAAGCCTATAATGGAAGGACTTCCAATGCTCAAATTGACCTCTCAGAAAGTTATGTTAGTCAACATATGTTACTTTGTCAGATGATCCTGCTTTGGCAATTTCCTCTTCTGTGGCTAGAAGTCCAGCTGCTGTGTCCCTTTTACTGGTGAGTGGTTGTCAGATCCTATCTTGAAGTTCAATCAATCATTCGGCTGTTGAAATTTTGTGCTGAGAACATGAATTGCTATTTGTTGATCACTTACCAGGACCTACGGGTGTCAACAACACTTCCTAATGATGACTTGGTGAAGATTTTTAACTATGCTGTCTTGAGGCTGATTCCAAATGCTTGGTCTTCTGGCCAGAGCTCTTGGTCCTATTTACGTAAAGGAAATGCTACATCTAATAACTCTGGAGGTTGGTGGGGAAGCTCTACTTCTATA